ATTTTAACCAAATCATCTCAGCGCATGAGCATTATTCAGTCAATCCCTATTCTCTTCCTTGAGAGGAATGGCGGATTTCAGATCCTGTTTGGAGGATAATGATCTCTCTGATCTCAACTGTAGAGGTGCTTTTTATACTTGGACGAACTGCAGACCAGAGGACCCAATTATGCGTAAGCTGGACAGGGCACTAGTAAATGATAACTGGATCTCTGTTTACTCTGATTCAGTTGCTGTCTTTGACCCTCCCGGAGCTTCTGATCATACTCTATGTTTAGTCAGTCTCAAATCATATAGAGAGAGAAGCAAGAAGGGTTTCAAGTACTTCTCCTTCATTTCCTCTCACAAGCACTTTTCGTCTAAGTTGGCAGAGGTCTGGAACTCTACACCCATAGTGGGATCAAGTTTCTTTATGCTTGGAATTAAACTGAGGGAAGCTAAGCTCTGTTGTAAAGAGCTTAATAGGGAAGGTTTTGGCAACATCCAACAAAGAACTAAGGAGGCTCTTGTGAAGTTAGAGGAAGTTCAGAAATCCCTTCTTAGCTCTCCCTCGGCGTTACTGGCTAGAGAAGAGACAGAGGCAAGAAAGAAGTGGAGGTTTTTTGCCGAAGCTCAAGAAATTTTCTTTCATCGCAAGTCTAGGGTCAGGTGGTTAACCGATGGGGATGCGAACACCAAGTTCTATCAAAAGATGGTTTTAGCTCACCAGGCCCGAAATACTATCACTTATCTAAGGTACTCCGATGGGGGCAGGATAGACAACAAGGATCAGATCAAGGACATAATTATCTCTTTCTTCAAGAATCTGTTGGAGACAGAGAGCTCAGCTTCCCCATATTCAGTGGAACAAATCCGTATTATCCATCCGTTCAGATGCTCCCCGGACCTTGCAGCTCAGCTTCTCGAGTTTCCTTCTGATGAGGAGATAAAGGAAACGTTCTTTAAGTTGCCTAAGAACAAAGCTCCTGGCCCTGATGGGTTCCCTGCTGAGTTCTTTTTAGAGGCTTGGGAAATAGTTGGTTCTGACTCTATTCTTGCCGTGAAAGAGTTCTTTCTCTCGGGATATATGATAAGGAAGTTTAATGCAACCACCATTGCTCTTATTCCCAAAGTAACGGGTGCTGATCAGTTGTCGTCTTTTAGGCCGGTCTCCTGTTGCTCTACCGTCTATAAAGTCATTGCTAGGATCCTCAAGAAAAGGTTAAAGCTGGTCATTCCTCTTGCAGTTCAGAACAACCAAGTCGGCTTTGTTAAAGGCAGGCTGTTGGCGTCAGAATTGGTAGCAGACTTTCATAAAAGGGGTCCAACTACTCGGGGGTGCTTGCAGGTGGATATAACCAAGGCTTATGACAATATCAGCTGGGCTTTCGTCATTAATCTTTTAAAGGCGCTCAACTTTCCCGACACCTTTGTGGGTTGGATCTCTGAGTGCATTTCGAGTCCCTCCTTTAGCATTGCGTTCAATGGAGAGCTGATAGGCTTCTTTCCAGGAAAGAAGGGCTTGCGTCAGGGAGATCCGATATCTTCTTTCCTCTTTGTTTTAGCTATGGACATTCTCTCGAAGTTATTGGACTTAGGTGCAACTGAGGGCACCTTTAATATCCACCCTCGATGCCATGCTCTTTTGGTAACCCATCTAAGCTTCGCTGATGATGTGCTTCTCTTCTTTGATGGGTCTGAAGCATCTCTTGAAGGAGTTCTCTCCATTTTGGAGAACTTTAAAGAAACATCGGGTCTTGCCATCAATCGGAATAAGTCGGCAGTATTCTTTGATGGGGGTAACTTTGAAGCTAATGCGGATACAGCTTCTAGATTGGGGCTTCAGCAGGGTTCTCTCCCTGTCTACTATCTTAGGGTTCCACTTACTACGTTTCTTGATCTTGAAAAATATCTTTTACTTACCTATTTGTTTATTTTCCTTTTTAGAATATAATTTAAATTTAAAAATAAATAAAATATAATATATTTATTTTATAATATGTAGATACTCAATTTCAGTCTCTAACCGATGGAGATAGCCTTAAACTTGGATTCGATGGACTCGATCCAAAAAACAGTTTAGTTCAGTTTCAGTTTTTCTAAATAACCAATTAAATTTTAATCAATTTTAGTTTGGGTTTCAGTTTGGTTCAGGTAAAACCCGAAAATCATTCGGTTACTAAACCGAACCAAACCATAAAACTGATTTTTTTTGGTTGAACTGATTTTTCTTTCACTTAAACTAAAAAAAAAAAACCTAATTCTAACGCCTCCACCTTTCTCTCTTCTCCATCTCCTTCTTCTCTACTTGATTCTCCATCTCCTTCTTCTCCTTCTTGATTTTCCGTCTCCTTCTTCTTCTTCTTCTTAATTCTCCAGCTTCTCTATGTCCTTCTTCTCCTCAATCATAAAAAAAAAAAACTCGACAAGAGAGAGTTGTTGTTACTGCTCTTTCTTATCTTCCTCAACCACTGATTTTCCCCTCCTTCCTTTTCCTCCATCACAACCAAACCCTTTAATCACCATCATAAGTTCTTTCATTGCTCACGCATAAATTACCACAGATGTCTCTTGTTATAGACTACTACTCTTCTTCCTCCTCCTTCCATTATATTAATCCTAAATCTCCCTTCTCCTTTTTTTTGTTGACTATTGTGTATCAGTTTTGTAATAGTGTATCACACTAATTTTGTCTATATTTAACTTATATTAATGAAGTTTATAAATGTTACTTTGACGTTTTATCTTCTCTTGCTTTCATATAGAGGCTTAGAGAGGTAGGGTTTCGTGTGTACGTCCCCACACGTGTCAAAAACCCTCTAAACGTATCATGTGTACCATTCGTGTCTTTGGCAGTCAACTTCATGTGAAATGTTTCTAAGTTTTATAATCATATCACTAAAAAAACAAAAGTTTGTTCGGCTGAATATATATATATATATATATATATATATATTTCTCAATACATTGGGGGAAATAATATTCTATGTAAATTTCTTCTTTCACCAATAATTTTTGTTTGCAGCGATTGTTCAATAAGTTGATAATGATGTGTAAAACCTTACTTCCTATCACCACTGATTGTCTTCTTAATTAGACTATAAACGAATTTACTTTCATTTATTTAAGCAAGTACTTTGCATCATTAACTGAACCTAACCATTCCATAATGACGCCAACAAAGTGTTTGGAGTTTAGACAGATTATTATGATCAGCTTTCTGAAGCAAGTCAAGCAACCGAAAGAATTAAAAATCCAACTAATCAAATGAAGTAAAGATTTATCTTAATTAAATAAGAAATTGGGGACATTTTCAATTCACATGACAATTGAGAGAGAGAGAGAGAGAGAGAGAGAGAGAGAGAGAGAGAGAGAGAGAGAGAGAATTGTCAAGGAGGTAATCGAGTGTGTGGTGGAGGTACATCAAAGCTTCCATCCATCTCAAGATGAGTTCTAAAGCTGATAATGGAAACGACACCCAGAAAAGTTACCTCTTCCCAAATCATGTCGAATCCACCACCTTCATAAGTTTTGTTTGTAATTTAATCCCAATGATCTTTTTTTTCTTCTTGATAGAATAATTTCACGAAACTAATCTAAGCTGATTTATCGTTGCTTCTTTTATGTTTCTTTTTATATGCTAAAAAAGTAGCATGTATAATGTTCTAAAACTCGTTACATGTAAATCGGGTGACACGAAAGACTAAATATTGTTTAGTCATTAATATTCTCTTATAATTACATTTCTAGACCCAATAGATTGAATTAGTCAATTGATTATAATTGATTGTTTGCTTATATTCCATGATGATTCAGTTTGCATATAGATTGATTAATTTAGCATGGCATTTCTTTGTCTCCCCCCTCCATTTTTTCACTCTTTCTTTTTTTTTCCTACTTCTTTGAATTTCAAGTGGACATAGAAAAGCCGATACTTAATATTTTACGATCGAACAATAAATAAGTTGTTGTATATATATATTCACATGACCCCCCTTCTCTCCAATGAAGTTTGATCTTAAGTTTTTTATGTTACACCGATATTAGTCTAAAGTTTAGTTTACAAGACGGGTTAACAAAAAAAGTAAGCTTTCATTACCATTTTTAGAAACTCACATAATATCAAGATAATCTCCAAAATGGGAAATATGAAAGTTTTTTAATTGTTTAGGGGATTGATTATGGGATTATAAATTAGTGTGGGGTATAAATCTCATACTATGCAAGTTATCTCTAAACAATTTTGATCATTCCTCGTACTGCGAATTTTATAGAAGACATCATAATATAATAAACCTTTCTGTTTCTGACTTGGTCCAAAATATGACCCAATGGGCTTAGTGAACTCCAACCACTTAAACTAAAGGCCCAATTGGTTTCATATCCCCAACTAATATAAGTTCGATTATCTTTGTCGCCGGAAACTTGAGCCATTTGCAAATGTACGGTGGTGTTAACAAAAAGAACATTTACTGTATTATAGCTTTACTAAACATCAGCTACTGTTACTTACATGTACTAAAGATTAAACATCAATCTGAAACAGAGGAAACACACAGAACAAGAGACGAGTTTTACTACTTGGGTTCTTCTGTCCATCGTCTCTTCACTTCAGATTTGGATCTAACTTCTTTGAGATTCCCATCCAAACCATAATCTCTCTCCATCACAAGATTGATCCCTTCATCTGAGTACCGAACTTTCCGGTAAGTTCCTTCTCTTCAGAGCTTCTGTGCACAAGCACACGTACGGTGTGGTTTCATCACTACTTTGACCTGACAGCTCCATTTCGTCTTCTTCTCCTTAGATTGGAGTAGCACTCACTTCAAATACTTTCCACGATCCCGTTAGTTCTGATGGTTGCGTGCGTTTCGGCCCTAGCTCATTTCTGTCTGCACGCATATAAAAAACACGTCAAATGGCCCTGTCCGATGCTTATCCAATTTTTTTTGCGCTGCTAAATGTCAGTTCGAATCCGATTGTGACTAAAATTGTTAAAGGGTATTGTTGTAAAACGACAGCGTATGCAGTCTGTAAGCACCGTTTATACGTCATTTTAAAATGTGTATATTTATTTACTAAGTTTTGTGAAATTATATGTATATATTAATAATGATGATAATTTGTTTCGAAACTTTTTACAAAAAATGATCTTAGAAAAAGAGTTCAAGTGCCTTGGAGGATTCAGACATCTTAGGTATAAAACAGGAAAGCGAACCAGAAGACGTTAAGAATCTCTTCCTCTTTTTGTGAACAACAGAATTCAACAATCCTTCTTTCTCTGAATCTTCGATATCTTCTTTCTTCAAAAACTCTTTGAACCACATTGCCGACATTTTTGGATAACGTTTTAGACCGTTGTTGTAGTCTACATAGAATAATCCGTAACGAACTCCATAACCAGCGTTCCATTCGCAATTGTCCAGCAATGACCATGCATAGTATCCTTCTACTTGAACATCATCCTCCCTAAATTCATAATCGGTAGTAAGAATTAAGCAATTTAAGCTTCATGCATGTGTTTCTTGATTGTCATGTCAAGTAACTAATTAAGGGAGAATAGAGACTTACTTGATAGCTTGGTGGATGCTTTGGAGATGTTTTTTGTGGTACTCTGTCCTTTGAAGATCCATCAGATTCGAGAGTTTTGCTTTTTTTTCATAGTCTATATCGCAATGTCCTAAATTATATTGATAAGATTTAATATTCAAAATGGTGAAAAGAAAAACTTTGAAATAATTATACATGCTAAAGATAATTTTTTTTTTTTTTACCATTTTCAGTTATCATAAATTTAGGGTTTCCGTATTTGTTTTTGGCGTGGTTTAGAAACTTTCTTAATCCTTGTGGGTATAAAAAGTCCCACTCTGAACCACCTCTAGGACCCAAAGTTTGTCCTGCTTTGTTTTGTTCTGTTACATACATAAAACCATAATAAACTTGTGAGCCAAGAAACCAAAAAGTAAAAACCGTAGACAATATGTATGAAACAATTACTTACTTTTCCATTCGATGCGTGCGTCGGATCTCCAATTGGGAATAGTAGGATCCACGTCAACAACGTTTTTAACGTAGAAGGCACTGTAATAATTCACTCCTACGAAGTCAAAAGATCCTTTTAACTTCTTAGATTGAGCTGCAGTAAACGACGGTAATCTTTTTCCAATTAATCTTTTCATGACTTCCGGATAATCTCCATAGACCGTTGGATCCATATGCCTGTTTCAAAATGACAACCCCACAATATATTATTAGTCAACGTATAATGATAACATAGTTGTGTATATATATATATATATATATCCAATAAATTAAATAGAATTTTTAATACGACCGATCACTCACCATCCAAACATAAATTCCATGGCACGCTCAACCGCTTCTTGATCATCAGGACAGTTCGAGTCGTAAGGTTCAAACCAGACCGGACAATGTGCAATACCGATTTTACCACCTTTACACTGTAAAACGTAATATCGTTGTATACATTGATACATTTAGCAACAGTCAGTTCATATACATGCATGTTTAATTTAAAACCATATAGGAAAAAAACATCAACTTTTGTTCGCACCTTAGGGTTTTTCCTGAAGACTTCAACAGCTTCAGCGTGAGCCAAGAGTAGATTGTGACTAACAGTATAAACCTCGAGGCCAGATTCACCGGCCAAAGCTGCTTCGTTCATGTATTTAGAGGCACGACCGGGAGCTTTCCTTCCGGTATCATAACCGCCAATACTGTAAACCCACGGCTCATTTAACGTAACCCAATACTTCACACGGTCACCAAATTCCTCAAAACATATGGTAGCGAATTCGCGGAAATCATCACTGTATTAATAATATGATTATTTTTACATGCACAAAGTTGGATGTATATATTGAAGAAAATTTAACGATTACGATTTATTATAATTAATGTATAATGTGTGCTTACACAGCTTTTTCGCTAAGAAACCCATTGTATTCATCTTCTAAGGCTTGTGGAGTATCCCAGTGGAACAAAGTTGCGAGAGGTGTGATTCCTATTACGTATATGGTATAATGTTAATTAGAAGACATATACAAACTACCAATAATAATAAAAATTGAATGTTTTGATATACATACGAGAGTGGATTAATTAGGTTTAAATACCGTTGGCTAGGAGTTCGTCGATAAGGTCGTTGTAGAATTTGATTCCCTCCTTGTTAACTCCTTTGCTTTTCTTTCCATCTATTTTTAGAATATAAAGTCGTTAAAAATCTACATACATTGAGTTTGATGATTTTTTTTGTTTTGAACCTTATTTGATGAAAAAGCGTTATAGGTTTAATGCTTACGAGGAAGAATCCGTGGCCATGAGATTGAGAATCTGAATGAATCCATATTGATATCTTTCATTCTTTGAATATCTTCCTTGTAATTGTGATAAAACTCAACAGCTTGGTCCGCATCAGAGTAACAATTCCGTTCTGCACATAAAGATTAAAGTTTAATTAGTTTAATTCGCATTCAGTTAAACGATTAATAAACTAATACATAAGATCGTACATATACATGTATGTATATTAACAAAAATAGATCGACTGATAGATATAAAACCTGGATGTTTGCGGACAAAAGTATCCCAAACACTTAGCCCTCGAGTGGCATCGTTCACGGCTCCTTCGTATTGGTAAGCTGATGATGCAGTTCCAAACAAAAATCCTCTGGGAAAATCGGATCGGCCAAACGAAGTCTTAGCTGCGTAAATCTTCTTTCCTCTGAAATATAATGAAAACCCATTAAATTCAAATTTCTTTATGTACCATGCATGCAAAAGAAGAAAAAACCAACGTTCTTTGCGTTATATATTAGAATCGAAGTTATTGTTACTTACTGCATCATTTTGTTTTTGCAACTTATGATCTTGTACGGAATAAAGCTAGAGATCTTTTTATTTGTCTCTAAGAAAAACTTAAATTAAATGAAATAAATGTAATGGGAATTGGGTTTGTGATTGAAACAATGGGATATGGCAAGGTTTATATAGGCAGATGAAAGAACCGTGAAAAATCAAACGTTAATTTCGTCAAACTAGTTGCCAACGTGACTATGTCTGTTAACTCAGCTTGTTTTTATTTGATTCGAATTAATATGCATTTATATATAATGAAGGAGTATGGTTACCTTCGTCTTCATGATGAGCCAACTAGATTCTCCTATGTTGACTTCAAAAATAGTACTTGATAGTAGTGTAATAAATGAAATTAGTGTCGGGAAGATTACGCTGCGACTATGGTGAATCTTAAAATTTCTTTCTTTAAATTAGGAAAATTCAAACTTCGGTTTAGATTTTTCTTAAGTTATCAATCTTTGGTAATACAGCAGCAAATGTAAATCATCTTTTCCCAAACCAGTTAAAACATCACTCCTTCGTTCTCTTACCAACATTTGGGCTGTATAGAAAATGTTGATATTAATGTTGTTTTTCATGTAAATATTATGGGCGTCATGCATGATGATTCGATTGCCGGGTTAATATATAAGACACCTCACACCAGTAATTTTATTATTGTGAACGTCTATTTACTTAGGTAGCAAGATGCTATATTATATAACTGAGCTTTCACCATGGAGATAAATAGACTTAATTTTCTAATCATATGATAAATTATACTCTTCAAAAATGATTTTTTTGGGGTAGTTATGTACTTAAATCTGCATAATCTTGACGAAAATTTTATCTATAAGGATATGCTATTGAAATACAAAAGTTGCAACTTTTTTCTCTCAAAATAAAGCCAGACTTGACCTTGTTTTAGTCAATTCTGTTGAATTCTTGAATATGTGAATCATCACTCAATAAAGGGGTAATGTATAGAATTTTCGTCGTATGGCTCAATCCCTAATCTGTAGTTCTGTATATATGCATGTATTGTGGCCACAGGAAATTGAATAGATTAGTCTAACGAAAATGAACATTATAAGTTAATATTTTTCTGACGACCAAAAAAGTAATATACAATTAAGTTAAACCATAAAAAGGAATTTTTATTCTGAACTTCTGAAGCATAAAGTTTTCGAGTTTTCCACTAACCGCGGGGAAAAGACGACTCGAGTATTAGTTTACTCTTAATAAATTATAATTATAACTTCAATTAAAAACAAAAACAAAGCTAAAGACGAAGACTGGAAAATCACAACAGTTGACAAAATCTCATTCGTTCTTCGTAGCTCTTTTGATAGTACATTTTACAGCTACATACTCCACATATCTTCGTATACGGGTTTGCTAGTTTTTAAAACTTATTTTACTCGTAATTGCATAAGCATGCAGGTAGGTGGATTTAGAAAGTGACAACCAGAGTAATAGATAACAATATAATAGAGTTAGAGGATCCATCAGAATTGAATTTGTTCTATTGTAGTTTTGGTCAGCAACTTCACTCTTTCCAAGTTTGAATAAGAGTTTTCCCATACGTCCGCGATTTTACTTGAACGTATACAATTAACATACGTTTTGTTAATATATCATTGTTTTATGAATACATTTTTATTGTAATGCTAATTATGCTTTTTTTTTATTACCGATGTAACATTTTGTTTGTATGAGTCTACATACTAAACTATTGATCCATCGTTTTTGCGTCTGTATAAGTTTCTTCTCTACAGGCTGGGAATTGCAATATGAACTGCAAACCACCAAGATTTAATTTATTGGTGGGTACCAAATTTCAAAACTTTCTAAGTCTTAGGGTTGTCCCATAAGTTGTGATAATTTTTGGGATACCCATGAATTAAAAGGATATTTTCGTCGAATTATCTAAAACTTTTTGCGGCTTACATTTGCAAGTTGGAGTCTTCTACTAGTATTTAATTTGGACTGCTAAGCAAAGAAAGCAACTTGGGAACGTGTGAACATACAACAAATCCGATGAATGCGATGACATTCCGACACGTGGCTAGTAGAAGCTCACCAATTACTCAGCGTCACATTTTGGACGACGCTTTGGTTGACTCCAAGCTTTTAGTATTAGGGTTCTACTATCCAATCTTGAAACTCATGGATTGATTTATACCGCTATGCTATTGGTCGACAAAAGGACGCATCGTTGGAAATCTATTCATTAATAGTGTAACCTGTTTAGGTTTTTTGTTTAGGTTTTTGTTTACATGTATATATATTTTAAAAAGTAAATGATTTTTTTTTTTTGTTCATGTTCATGAAAAAAAGAAGAAGGTGATGATTTTTTCTGTACTATATATATACAGATTTTAAATTCGGATCATAAATATTGACTAATATTGTTCAGAAATGTGGGACACATAATTTAAAAGAAAAAAAGAATTGACAATTCAAAGTTAAGCCATATGGTTCATGTCCGTGTCACCTTTGTAATGATTCTGATGAGTCGACTCCGTGTGTTAAATATACGTCTTTGGAGAGAATAAAAGGAAACCCATGAAACTTTTTTTTTGCTTCTTCCTTTTGGTACCATACAATTTTTTTTGTTAACAATCCTCAAACATTTTGCTGACCAAGAAAGAATAAACATTACGTAAAATGATATTAAGGATTCAAGGCTGACCCTGATTAAGATTTGTGGGGCTTGAAAACAATTTTTGTTTAAAAGATAAATAATTCATAGAAATATGTAAATGATTTGGAAACCAACATAACCATTTAAATTTTGGGGATTGAAGGCAAATATTTCATATGGCTATTGCTAAGGACCGGTTCTGTTAGGGTTTTGCACATATGATGTTTCGTTTTTCTTTTCTAAATATCACAATTTGCCATAAATAGTTCTGAGTATTAAAAAAAAGACAATCCATCTACTTATTGTCATAAATATGAAGTAATCCATTTTTTAAATGTAGATAATATTTGGGGTTTTGCACATATATTAAAAAATACTTTTTAAATAAGAAGTTAATAAAATTTGAAAACATCAGTTTTGTTACTATGTAATTTGTGAAAACGAAAGAAGTATTTTTTATATGATCCTTCTTATAAAACTTATATGGGCTGGGTAAAAGGCCTTACATAGAATCTGGATTTAACAATTAATCTAATTTCACTTTTTTTTTCTACGAAAAACCCGTCAGGGGGGAATCGAAAATGGAAACGAATCTACAAGTTTTGATTTCTCAATTTTTTTTTTTTAATAATTTTTTTTCCATCTCACACTCCGTCTCTGTTCTTATTAAGGAAATACTAATCTTTAGGCGAATCTGTAAGCTTAGCTGAATCACACAGAAGCACTCTGATTAGTGGAGCTCGGATTTGTTGCTGGATAAAGCTCCAGTGCCAGAAATTAACCAGCCGTTCTGCAATTATAGAGAAGATTTGAGCTCAACCCACAAAAAAAAAAAATCGAGTCTTCTTCTAGTCAAATTGAAATCAACCTCGAATTGTGCTCATGCGTGTTTTCTCTTAGATTCTTCGCTTTGCTTCTCGAATTTCATCTCCGAAATTTAGTCTCTTGATCAGGGATTAAAAAGCTCCGGCGATGGACTACGATTCGTTTGATAGCAGCGGTTAGTTCCCAACATCTGTGTAGATAGTTTCGTTCTTTTCTCTCGCCCCGAAATTAGGGTTTACGTAACTTGATTTCTCCGTCCAAGTAGTGTTATACATTGTGGACTCTCGTTTCTGTATTCAGATTTTGGGTGTTGTTGTTGTTGTTACTAAGGAGTGTGAAACTGATACTGGCTTTGAGCTAAAGATATCTACTTTGATGATTTGATCTTTATCGTTTGATTGAATGCGTGAACAATGATTTGATTACAAAAAGGTTTTGATTGTGTTAGCACTAACATTGATATTTCCCATGTGCTGTGTTGTCTGCAGGAACAGATGATGATCTGCCTCCGACGCATAGGGTTCCAAGAGGAGGACGTGTGTCTGCTAATGGTGGAAGACCTTCGAATCTTCCTCCGTCTTATCCAAAGATGTACGATGAAGTTGCTGCTGATATGGAAGCTCAGATTCACCAGATTGAAAAGGAAGCATATGTCTCCGTACTAAGAGCCTTTAAAGCTCAGGCAGATGCAATTACTTGGGTATTTTGATGAATCTCCTTCTATTTTAGTTCCTCTTCTTGTGTTAAGTTTCTGGTTTGGTGAAATGAGATCTCTTTTTTTTTTATGTATTGTATCTTGTTTCAGGAAAAAGAAAGTGTAATAACTGAACTCCGTAAAGAGTTGAGTTTATCGAATGAGGAGCATAGAGAGCTTCTAGGTCGTGTAAATGCTGATGATACGATAAGGAGGATAAGGCGAGTGCTGAAAATCTTGATGCATTTATTCGATTTGAGGGATAAAAAAAGCTTTCTTTTCTCTTTCTATCAATGACATTGATTTTTTCTCTTTATTAGGGAATGGAGACAATCTGGAGGAATGCAGCCAAGTATGCGCAATGCTGCTCAAGTGCTTCATGATACGTTGCCAAGCCCTTCAGTTTCAGCTTCTGTTAAGAAGCACAAACCAAACCAGCCGATTCTTTCTCAACCGTTCGCAAGTTCCTCACCTTCTTTTCATCATCCTCAAGCTGATCCCATTAACCCGTTTGCTTCATCGACGGCTAAACGAGGAGCTGTTCCCAATGCCAAGGGCAAAAAGCATAAACCAGTGAGTTAAAAAAAAGTCATAAAGTTGGTATCTTTTTGTTGTTTGTTTCTTTATAGGAAACGATTCTATTACTAGTTTTTACCTTTTCTAGGCTTTCCCTGGCTCGTCTTCCGCAAAACCCATCTCATACCATCCTTCAGATCAACCTCCACGAGGACAAGTCATGAGCAGGTTACCATCTGCTCCTGCCAGGTCAAGTGAGCCCACAAACGGAGCCGAACCTGAGTCTTTTGTAGGAAGAAGAGTTAGAACAAAGTGGCCTGAAGACAATACATTCTATGAGGCTCTCATCACCAAGTTTAATCCAGTTGATGTGTGTGGCTTCTTAAAATTGGCATAATGTTTATTAACATAAGAAGTTTCCTTAAACATGTTTAAATATTTTATAATCTTAATTTTTTTTTAGGGTCTTCATGCATTGGTTTATGACATGGGAACAGCTAATGAGACATGGGAATGGGTTAAGCTCTCAGAGGTAATTACTTTTTTCTTATCAGTAGTCTTCTTAAACTTTCCAGAAAAAAAAACATTTTGTCAACAGTTCTATGTGTTAGCTTGTAACCAAGTTCTATAATTCATCTACAGATATCCCCTGGGGATATTGAGTGGGTAGGAGAGGATCATGGGGTTGGTAATCGACATGGTTACAACGGACAAGGCCATGGTCTTAACAGAACTACAGGACCCAACAGTGTTCCGCAACGGGGAAGCGGGTTTACGAAGACCACTATCAGAAAAGATTTCAGAACATCCCAGAATGGAACTGGGAAAAAGAAACACCCCGATATACGAATCCGTCAGACAAGTGTCCTAATCAGAGAGGTTGGTAGTAATTGATGTCAAGGCGAGTTTTACAGTGCTTTTATAGTTTATTTCCCAAATGATGATGATTTTCTGATAGGTGGAGGAGAGAGTTCTTGGTTCACACAATCCAGATCCTCAAGAAGTTGCAAGGGCTAAGAGAATTTTGGAGGTTTGGTCCTTTCTTTGTTTAATCTCTACAAAGATTCTTTCTTTCTTAATTTTGTGTTTATAACACATACAAAAGTCTCAAATGATTGATTATTACCTTCGATTCAGGAGCAAGAACTTGCGCTTGTGGGTGCAATCGCCAAGCTTGAAGAAATATCAGATGGAGAAAATGGTAAGTGCATTTAGTATATTCAAGCCCTATATCCTCGGTGATTTTCCTCCATTTGAAACTAAAGACGAAATATATATGGCTTCACTGAAACTCTCCTTCTCTGTTTTTTTTTGCACAGAAGGTGGATTTCGTCGTTAACTTGTGTTTGAGTCAAGCAATTTTGCCAAGCACAGCGCAAAGAGGTCAATGAGGAGCTGATGAAGAAGAAAGAATTTGTTGAGATTAAAAGGTCAGAGTCTCAACTTCTTTGATGTTGCCCTTTTGTGGGTATCTGTGACTGTAATTTTTGGTGACATTAGAGATTAGCTTTACCTGAATGATGGATTTGTTGGATATATATATGTTCAATGGAATGGTTTCGGTATCTTGCCCTAGCTTCTGTAGGGACTCAAATGGTGGAAATGAGCAAACGTATAAGTATAACCAAAAAGAAGGAATGAATCTTTCTGATGCCAAACAAGCAAAAATACAGTTTCCCTAATGCATAACTATGAGAACTTCTAATGTTAGAATTAAGATTTAAAAAAAAAACCCAAAGCATATTCTATGGATCTACAATAGTATTGTCAAAAGCCAGAAAAAGATGTTTTTAGTTCTCTCATCTTCTGGTTCTTTTCCTTGGCTGTTTATTGTCCTTTCCCGTGCTTCCGCTTTCCCTACCTCGTTTTCCCGAGGCAGATGCAGCTGCCGTCGTCGCTACCGCCTCTACCGGTTTCTTCTGCGGTCTCCCGGGAGCTCTTTTCACCGGAGTAATCTCAACCTCGGCCTTCTTTTTCTTACCCACATTGTTGCTTCTAAGTTCTCTTGGTTTCGATTTACTCTCTTTTTTGCCGTTTCCACCGCTCTTATTCTGCTCTTTGCCTTCCTTTTGCGGAGAGTTCTTCTTCAGCCTCTTCAAGAAATCAGCCACACTCTTCTTCTTATCTGATGAAATCGTCTTCTTCTCTGTTTTACCTGTCTTTTGCTCACTACCATTATTAGTATTGTCGTTTGATGAATTTGTTTTCGACTCTGTCTGTTTCTGTGTGTTCTTCCCTTTGCCCGTCTTGGTATTGTTAGCTATAACCGCAGCAGAAGCAACCACTTTGTTGGCCCTTCTAGAGCTTCTTACAACAGTCCCAGTGTTCTCTTTCTCCTCAGATAATATCTCTTCTTTCGTCTCCTCTTTCTGGCTTAAGCTTGACGACGATGGAGAAGCCTTAGCGGAAACAACACTTCTCTTCTTACAAACGACGAGAGGACCCGAAGATTTCTGTCTCGAAAGAGACGATTCTGATGTTTCAGCATCTGCTTTAATACTTCTCACAGCTGATGCTTCCTGGTTTATCAATCTGGGACCAGATTTCCCAGTCTCTTTCCTCATTTCTTCATAAACAACGGTTCTTAGTTCGTGAGCAGCCATTGATTCTGGGGAAGATGAAGGGAAGAAGACAATGGCGTTTGTGAAGAGAAGCTGTAGATCTCTGTAAAGAATGAGGCTTGAAGACTCATATGATCCTTGCTTCAATTTTCGCTGTATCGTCTCAATGTCCAAATGTTGCTTAACCAAGCTCTTGTAGTCTTTGGTCTCCTGCGTGTTTAAATAAACTGATGAGGTTAGAAATAGTTATAGGCCCAACTAAAAGCCCTAAATAAGTAAGGCCCTTAAAGGAAGCTTAAGAAAGTTAGCGGTAAGACACGACAAAGCCATGCTTCACTAAAACCTGCCACGTGTACTAGATTGTGTGAACAAAAAGACAACGATGACCACATAAGAAGTGGGTTGGTTAAATTAATTATTTTCTTTCCCTCTTTCACCCTCTCTCTTCATATTTATATACGTTCCTATATAAATCGTCCAATAACATTCGAAATGGACGTTCAAATAAAAAGTATTCGAAAATGTAGAGATTCCATAAAGAATACACGAAGATTTCGTTCTTTTATCTTTTCCTAGTTAACAATTTCACTCTTACATATGAACTTATTTAGAAAGGAATAATATAAAATTAGAGTTTTTGTAATGACTAATAGGTTTGAATAATCGAATTCTCTATTCAATCACGATGTAAAAAATAAACGGAGAAGAGCAAAGAAACGCGTAATAATTAATTGATTTAAGATCATTTATATCAAGAAATCGAACAAAATAAGGAAAAATAAGATATTTGCATACCTGGCTCCGAAGCCGGCGTTCAAACAAAGATCCACGCGGATGGGACCGAATCAGGTCAAGAAGACCTATCAACGGCTGTGATTTACTCGCCGCCGATCTGATCTCGCCGGCGCCGCTGTCGTGATTACTCTTGCTGCCGTCACCATGTTTCCGTCGTTTTCTTTTCCACTCACTTCCCGACGTTCCCGACTCGCCCAACTCGCCTGAGTGACTCGCTTCCGATCCTTCCTCCGCCTTACAAACCGGATCGGGATCTGGATTATTGCTAATCGAGTCATCGCGAGCCCGACTCGGTTCGTCTCCGCCAACTCTCTCGTCTTCTCCGGCGGTTTTCCCGCCGGAAGCTGTCGAATTCGACTCGTTCATCGACCTGTTTTCCCGCTCAGACTCCTCCGCCTTTTCACGGTGTTCGGATTCAGAACCGTCGTTCCCCGATCTCTCTCCTTTCCTCTCGTCCTCCAGATCTGGTTTCTCGTCTCCATCTCTCTCCTCCTCCAATTTCTTAACCTTCAACTGAAGCGATCTAGAAAACCAGAAAAATATAAATTAGAACGGAAAAAACAAAAATCTCAGATCCATCATAAAATCGACGGAGAGGGGAGATTCCTTGTCCCGTACAGTATCGAAACATCATACTGCTGAACCTCACGCCGGAGCTCCGCCATACGAAGGCTACGTAGCTGTTCAAGCCAAGGGATTTTACCTCCATCCTCCGCCACCGTCTCCGCCGCATCGCTCTCACCGCCGGACGATTCCTGAAAGCGACGCTTGAGATCTCGATACTTCTGCCTACAGTTATTAGCGGAGGCTAGGAAACCGGAGATGGAGCTCCGGGATCGAACCTCCGAAGCGACGGAGTCCCAATCAGCAAATCCGTGTCGCTTAACGGCGCATGCCAATAACAGCTCCTCCCACGTGCCCCATGCTTGGCTATTGTGCTTCGGATTAGTGTTATCATCTTCTTCACCAATATTACGATTGTTGAAATCATCACTGCAAATATAGTCGTTGTTGATGATGTTGTTAGTGTCGTCGTTCATGCTATAAGATCCCGCTTCCTCTTCCTTCGTCATGCTTCCATAATCTTTTTATTTGAGACTCCTCTCTCTCGCAAACAAAAACGCTCGCAGTTTAAGGGATTTTTATTCCTTTTTTTTTTCTCTTATTGTTATTTTATTTATAATTTGTATTGTTGCTTTCTTGTCTTCCTCGCTCGCTTATTGTTTCGTGCTTTCTTCTCTCTTCTTATTAAAATATAGGGTACTGTGTGTGTTTTTTTTTTTTTGGTATAGTATATGCTTTTTTGGGGATGAACATGTGTGGTTATTAGGGTATTTAATTCAAATCAATCCAAAATATCGACTTTTAATATTGTTGTTCCTATATCCAAGTAATGAGATCTCTATACTCTTGACTACAAATATATACCAAATCAATAAGAAAAGAAAAAATTGAAAGCAAATTTGATTTTATCCGAAAAGTGTTTATAGTTTATTTATCAACATATGCATGTACACTGAAAATTTGTAATACAGAACTGAATTCGTATCAGCATGGGTTTTTTTGGTCGGTCTAAACCATCACTCTCGTATATTATTAATATGATTTCTTATGCAAATTTCTCTTCTAGTCCGAGAAAATCAAATAATTTAAAAAATTAAATTGAAAAGTGGATTAAGTAACCTAGTTTTAAGTTCAACAGCAGCTTTAATCCTTTGACCCTTTCTTTCCTTTTTGGACCGTTAGGGCAAACGATTTGTTTTAGTTAAATTGTAAAATTTGAAACCCATAACCGAGCCCGGCCCGGTTAGGCTTCGTTCAACATCTCTCGCAAAGAAAAATGTATGAAGACAATTTACAGAAATGCCTCCCTTTGTTTACTATAAATGGAATTCCGTTTTTCGATCGTGTTGTTGGTGAAAGTTAGGTCGGACTACGTTTACGAACCATGATAGGGTAATAATGTTGTTCAGTCTGGATAAATCAAAACTAATAGACCTTGAAAACTGAACATTAATATTGTTAAATAACTTTATAGAAAAATATATGAATCCAAACTCGAACCAAAATTTTAAAATTCTTTTGAAGATTAAAATATATTCGATTAAAAACCAAAATACACATCTAATAATTAGGTTTTACATTGATATTTTTGTAAAACCGAGAATTCCGAACCGAGTTTGAACCGAAACTCAGATCCTTTAAGAATCATGGACTAAGATTTGGGTCGGGTGGAGGAGGGATCCGATCTTTTAATTGGAATGACTAAAATCCATGGGCCTCAACATATAGGCCTACCAGATCGGATCGGGCCCCACGTTTTAACACAATAGTATACAGTTAGGTTACAACTTATTACAGAAACCACTTGTGTTCCAAGAATCACACCACACGAGTTCTTAACCATTTACATAATTTCCTGGTGCAAACAATTGCGTGAAATATGTCACTAACATAAATGAAGATACACTAACCGTTGTTATTAGCCAGATTTCTGGATAATGTCACGATTAGGCTGAGAAAAAGTCAGCATTTTTTCCAGTGTCCATTGATAGTCCTTTCAAAAACACGTGCTTGTCTCCTTGGGAAGGTCTTGGTCCATTCTGGATATGTCAGTAAATACTTCCAAATCCTGAAAACACAAAACAGAATATGTCAGTATTATGTTCTGGTTTGTTTTACAGGTAATGATCGAATGAAAGCTGGAAAATGACTAACCTTCTTTCATTGTCTATGAAATCTGGACCTTCAGCAGAAGGTGAGGTAGAACAATTAGTGAGAATTTCTTCATCGGGAAGTTGATTAAGTTCCCAAACATATTCAACCAGGCGCATTGTCCTGTATTACAAAACACAACTCATGAACTGTAACGAAGTAAATAGAGTATGGTACTCTTAATCTTGTGAGGAAAACAGAAAATGAGGCACAAGAGGCGTTTTCTGTTTTGTTATTACCAGCAGCATGGTGCGATGATGAACCTATCAGTTTTTGTGTCATATGTGTCAAGTAACTTCCCCTTCCAGTTATAATCGTCAAATGAAGCTGAAACTCGGATTCTTCGAACAAGTTCATCCGGACATCTAGAAGTTCTGTTGAAAATAGCTGGGAAAATTGAACCTGTGGAGGTATCCACCTGATAAATGGTTCCGACAAAACAGGGTAACGTTAACTACATTCAGGTTCAAGCAATCCTATAGTCTGGTTGAAAACCTCTTAGATTCATAATCCATGAGGAGAAAAAAAACAAGATGTCACAATGAAAAGCAATCACGAAATGTACACACAGTTTCCGTTTCTTTTTTCTTGAAAATCAATGAATTATACATCTTATATGACTAACTTACTAAGAGCGTTGATGACAACATTAGAGAGAAAGTGGACTAACCAGGCATCCATTAAAAATGGGGCACGTGTTCGCTTGAGCATCCAACTTGGTATTGTGCCCAAGAATAAACAGAGTTTGTAGGTGAAAATTCTCTCTTCTCTTCTGTAAAGTTTCAACTAATTTGCAACACAAAGGAAATGAGTAACCCTCTGGTTTGGCATAGTCACCACCACCGTCAACATTCTGCATAGAAAGGCCCAACATCGAGCTTAAGACCATTCTGCAGTTGAGTAATGACTGGAATGAAAAATATAGAAAATTCTGGTGCATACTTTTATGTCGACATCTTCATAACCACCAACCATATGTACCTGCATACCAAACCCCATTGACATATTCAAAAGGACTTAAAGATAAAATTTTGAATGATTAACATAACCTCGAGCACACTTCGTAATCTAAAAGAGAGAAAGAGAGAGAGATAATACATCTAACTCGGCATCTTCTTCATCCTCAAAAACCAATGATAAGATCTGGCTTATCCCCAAGTCCACAATTTTTGGTGAATCCATGTGTGCAATAGATGTCCTGCATTTTTCACATTAATCACAAATTTTTAGAGAGAAAAAAGTGACTGCACATTTTCATGAAATATATAGCATCAGTTCTTACATTCCAGATCTTCTGTTGCGGATAACAAGGCCTACGCAAGTTGTTGCTTCATCGGTGCCAACAAACTTGTCATCAATAAACAAAAATCATTAGAGAAACCAAGAACACTAGAGTTGATAGAAGAAGAAAAAAAACTCCTTTTATGACGACTAACTTCAAAATTTTGACTCTTTATAAAAACATACATCAACGAGCGCTGGATTCACAACAGCAAACTCTCTTTGGAATATGTAAACATATCTGTCTTTCGTTGAGCTCTCTGTATCCCTTTCACCGAAGGAAACACTCCGTTCCTCGAGATTCTTAAAAGACTCGGAAGCTGAGATTATCACAGGATGGCTCATTACATCAAGAAGCAAGTTGCTTTCCTGTTCATCAGATAATTTGATGTATCAATTATGAATCAAACATTCAGCTAGCTTCTGTGACGAGTAAAGAATCCCAAAATCCAAAACGAATTTAATAAATTCAAGTTTCAGAATAGTGTGTACAATGGAAAATCTCCAGTTTCTGAACTACATTACCACCATGTAAGCAAATCTTAGTTAAACCACTAAATAGAGATTCGTGAGAGACGAAGATAACGACGCGAAGAGATCTCTACCTGGGAGGAGGAAGACAAAGACGATGAGGTATTCTCATTTAGAAACGGAACTCCACCAACGTAGATCATGATCGCCGGCGAGAGATAACGAGCTTCAACGGCGGCGACCACGAAAGAGAAACAATGGCCGATGACTTTTTAACGAGAAAAGCGTTGAAATTTTCCACATATTAAACCAGAGTGAACAACTACTTGCCGTTTCAACTTTCTGCCATCAAAAAGCGCGGCGTTTTTAACGAAGCTGATTGTTTTCTTTTACTTTATTTCATTCGACGGATTTTATGCGAATTGCGAATCTATCCCTAGTATTCTTCTGTTCTAACAAATGAGGTATCGTAAGTTTTGGAAACACATGCTAATCACTCGGAGAGTTTTAAATGATGATTAATATTGAGTTTTGAACTTGAAATATGAAACACTTTGAAGATATGATTAACTTACTTTTCCAGGAGAAAAAACAAAATAATGATATCCAAAGTTTCAGAGACTAGCAGAAATTAGTACAAGTCCAAAAGAATGTACATAGATACATTCAGCCATTTTTCAGACAATTCTAAGGAAGGAAACACGACAGGGTCACATGAGCTTTGCAGTGATGGAGAGATTCAGAAATCGACGGTGTTTCAACATTCTGGCGCCGATATCTCATTTACCTCAGCCTCCTTCTAGACCTGGTCCTAGGTCCATTGTTGACATCTTCTGTTCTTCTCCTAGACGATGAAGCAGATGTAACTGAAGTAAACACTTCAGTAGGATTTACAGTTTGGCTTCTCGTCGCAGCAGAGGAAGGACCCGGAACAGCAAACTCTCTAGGCGACGATGAAGCTGCAGCACCAAGACTGAACGAAATCGTCTGCGAGGCATTGTTACTTAGATTCCTCAGATAAGAAGCTCGTACCGCAGGAGAAGGACCAATCTCAGCGATACGAGAAGATCTCCTACGGTTTCTTCTCAAACTAGTTGTGTCAACAAAACTATCAACATCAAAAGCATCATCCTCAAAAGGCGGCATCTCCGAGGTATCCACTACAAGACCAGGGAAAGAAGCAAATGGTGGCATATGAGGAGGCAATAGCCTCAAAGGACCAAAGGGCGCATGATGATGATGATGATGATGATGTTGTTGTTGCTGCATCCCACTACTATTGTCTTCTCCATTGGTTATTATGTTGGACAAACCGAACTCATCACCTTGCGCTAAAGCTTGTAGTCCTATAGAATCAATAGTCCTTCTAATATGCTCGACTGTTTCGTGAACCGGGATAAATGGAATCCCCCGGTTTATAATCTTCTGACGAACGCTTTCAACTCTTTTGGCATTAGGCCTCGGAGGTAGAAGTATACCGCAGTCCTCGAGCTTCCGTTTAGTATCATCGCAGCCATCTCCATTACCGTATATCGGAATCACCTCGGCGTTGGTCACTTCTCCGTCGCAGACGGGACATTCTTTGATGTTTAGGTAGATCAGAGGGAGATGGTAGAAGCATACCCAGCAGAACAAGTGGCCACAGCAAGTCAAAACAGGATCTTCGGCTCTCTCTAAACATATGTTGCAATCAAAGTATCCACCAGGAACAGAGCTCGTCTTCTCCATGTTCAGTGCCTTCGCTATCAGATAAGTCTTTTTCTCCCCGTTCTCGACCAGTCTCTCTCTGGAACGCTCGTGTATCACTCCTGCGGTGGAATGTCTATGTTGGTTGGGCGGCGCCAAAGCCGGTCCTGGTGTTGCGGTTGTTGTCGCCGTCGTTGTCGTTGTCGCTGCTGTTTCTGGTTGCCTGATTCTTGAAACTATTGCTTCGAGCAGTCTTATGCGTTCTTCGATCCGCTCGTGAGCAGTTTCGAGCTCGTTTAGCCATGGAGGAATCTCTGATATCAAACCGGTCGGAGACGGAGAATCAGAAGATGGCTCTTGATTCAAATCAAGATCCATTGGCTCTCCTTGAACACTACTCGACGACATGAGAGCTCAAAGCAGAACAACTCCAACACAAAATAAAAATTGCTCCTTTTTTTCGGCACAGATCAAGACAACCAACAGAGTTCGTGATTTCCCAAAACGTCTCTGAGACAATTGGATAAAATCAATCTCTACATTCCCGATCCATAGATGATTAGATCCCAACGATTCTTTCAAGACCAATCGATATCACTTAGAAAATCATCGAACTGAGAATTCCTAGAATTCTGCAATTAAGAAACGCATGCATATGTAAGAGAATCAACTTCGAAATAAATTTTCCCAATCGAAATTCAACAAATTGTGACTTCACGAAACAGATGATTGAGCGAGCGATCGAAGAAAACAGAGAAATACACGAAGTTTGAAGAATGAGAGACGAACTTGGGGAGAGAGAGAGAGGGACGGAGATCAAAACAAGCGGATGATGACGTTGGTTTCGAGGGCGGTGGCCATGATCGGTGGTGGCGAGAGAGACCGATAAATAAATTGAGGTGGAAGTAGGTCTCTCTGCTCGACATTTAAACCAAAACTAATGGACTTAGGACTTGATTGTGTCTTGTATTTTCTAATCTACATTTTTAAGGTTAGCGGTTGCGGTAGTAAATAAATATGCTATTATATTTTACATTGAAGAAAATATTAGGGGTTAACATTTAACAGTGTTTATAGAAATATTTTTTTGGCATTTGCCTGATAACTTTTATTTATAAATATTATGTAATTCTAGAATTAAATATAATAAAATTTGCATATAAATTTATATAAACACAAACGGAAACGCAAATACAAATTACAAACTAAACGATCAAATCCTTAATAATATGATTTTTAGTACTATCATTAATTTACATTTTTGACAAATTTCATAGATATAATTTTGTAATATCATCAATTTTTATATCTTTGACTAAATTTGATAGTTATAATTTCGTAATATCATTAATTTTTACATCTTTAACAAATTATCAGTAATTTGAAGTCAATAATTGGTTACAATTTTAGTACTATCATTAATTTTCATATCTTTGACAAATTTCATAATTAAAATTTTGTGATATTATCATTTTTTGTATCCTTTGATAAATTATTTGTAACTTTTTAAGTTATTAATTGGTTTTTGTTAAAAATAGTGTATTTTTAATTTGTTTTAAACTAGTAAAAGCAAGTTGTAAAGAATCCACAGAAAAAACATTACTTTTTCAAAGTGTTATAATAACTAACATAAACTTTTCACTGAAATAGAGGATTGCTTTTACCAACTAAATAAAAGAAATCATAAGAGAATTTGTCCAAACACTTCAGTATCTTATTACCTGACTTTCATGGCTTTTTTGCATAATCTATTAGCAAACATTTTTTTACCATTATTTTTTTAATTTTGTTCTAAATTTGATTACAGTCCACTTTCAATAGATAGCACAGGCCACAAGGCCCTGGTATATTTTAAAATATTGGCTTCGACCATATGGATAAAGCTAGCAGGGACACAAAGATTAAACATATTTTCTATTTATTTTGAAGTGGTCAAATTCTTGTACTTTGTTTCTTTCTTTTTTGCAAGTGTTCAAATACATTACTATAAATCCCTTAAACTTAGTACTAGTGAGACAAAAATGAGATTATATATTACTACGAAACGCAAAAAGACAAAACAAAATCGAAAGAGGATCTGCATATTTAGGATAAAAAATCAAGTCCGGAGAACAACGTAGAAAGCAAGGAAGGATCAAATCCAGCAAACACCGACGGGTCAACAGATGAGAAAACCGACGGATCGAACCCGAGAAAACCGGAAGACGCAGATGAACCGGATCCATCAACCGGTCCACCACCGCCCATTCCCATTGGTCCGAGCAAATCAAGAAGCTGAGAGACTTGGCTTGGATTTTGCGGCGTATTGTTTACAAGATTATTAATCATCTCAGTAATCATAGGTCTAATCACAGGACTCGTCGTGGGCACGACCAAAGGAAACGGATTATTGATAACCGGACTAGGAACATTGACAAACGGCGTCGTAGCGATAAACTGCGGTTGCGTCCGGTTTACACCATGTTTGACCAAACTTGTTGGAGTAGCTAGTTTTCTTCTAGCACACAACAAATGAGCATCGAATCCACCACACTCTTTGCAGCTATAGAGCCATGAATCACACCCGAGACCTCCGCAGACGCTGCAGCGGAAGCTGACCGCCGTAGCAGCGGATCTGGCTTCGCCCGGCGGCAGAACGGAAAACGTTAGAGAAAGTTGGTGGTGAGGGTGAGACTGGTGCGTGACTCGAGAAGGCATGTTGGCACAAACCGTGTGAAGATCGATTCCGCAATCTCCGCAATGGTAAGCGAATCCGTCACCGTCTTTTCCGCAAGCGTCGCAGCGGAATCGTCCTTCTTGGTATTTGGGAGTCGGGATCAGAGAGAGGAGATGGTTCTTGTCGAAAGGGTGTCTGATTTTTTGAGGTAACTCGGAACATTTTAGGTGTATGTGGAAGTTACAGGGTTTACATGTGTATGAAGGAAGACTGAGGAGTTTTAGCTTGCAAACCACGCAACAAGAGGAAGAAGAACGATCTTGTGGATTGAGGGATGTGTGGAACAGTGGATGTGGATGGCTGAAATGTCGAATTGAGTTATCTGGTTTTGGCCTTCCCATTGTTTTGCTGTGAAACGGGTTCAGAGAGATTATGCAGAGTTATAAAATGTTATTTGTAATTTTGGTATGAAAACAGATATAATGCGAATTGGGTTTGATTAGTTGAAATACTTTGTTTTGTGGTAGTCATTTTTCCTACCGGATTCTACACTTTCAGTCGACGACTTCGAGAGTCAACGGTTAGATTGTTTTATCAAGTCGGTACATTTGGATTATTTGGAAAGCTCAATTATTGACGAACGCTAGTGTTTTATCACAACTTCTTAACAATCGTCCAGATTGATATTTCTTTATATGATGTTTTGGCATAATATAATGCACACAAATAGAAAAGAGTTGCATTATGTCGTGTTATATTCTATCTTAGATTAATTATCAAACGAAAATGAAAGAATTATTTATTTATTGTAAGGTTAAATAAAAAGCAATTAATAAAAGCTTTGAAGATTGGCTTGCTATACAAGAAGCTAGATTTCCTTTGATCAATGAAGGTTCCTTTTCTCAAAATTTATTCTAAACTCAAACTCAATATGTACTTGATGTAAAAACGGTTTATTTTGTTCTTGAACTACTTTAACATCCAGTTAAAAAAGGAGAAAAAAAAAACATTCAATTAAAAAGGAGAAAACAATGAATAATATATAGTTTGGCGTCCAAATTGTGAAACTCTAATGTCAACTGTCTTATGTATATTAAAACTACAACTAGGTGAATAATCAATATCAAAATTATTTAGCTAGAAATAAAAATCACAACTCCTCTACATATTTGGTTATTTATAGTTTGTAAACGCGTCTTCCATTCAGTCACAATGGCTTCAAAGAAACCGGTTAATCGCCCATCGGTGAGGCATCCAAGTCACAACCATCCGCTGCGCAGCTTTAAAGTCAAAGCCGAAGATGAGATCATCTGCTCTGGATGCGAGCTTGACCTAACCGGACAAGCTTTCAAATGTACGAAGAAAGATTGCGATTACTTCTTGCACAAGTCATGTTTCGACCTACCCGGTGAAACCAAACACAAGTCTCACCTAGACCACCATTTGACCCTGCTCCATTCCCCACCGTATGGTCAGTCTTACACCTGCGATGCCTGTGGTGAATACGGATCCGGATTCACTTACAACTGTTCTGAATGCCAGTACGATGTTCATGTCGGATGTGCATTTATCCCTGAAACCGTAGAGCGCGAAGATCACGAACATCCACTCACTCTGCTTTACAACACACCGTGCAAAGGCCGCGAGGACGGTGCGATGTTCATATGTGATGTTTGTGAAGAAGATATGTCGGAGAATCTTTGGGTTTATTACTGCAAACAATGTGATTATGGGACACATGTACATTCTTGCGCGGTTTATGAAGAGTCTGATCAGCCAAAGAAAGGAGGAGAATCGAGCTCCGCGGTTTCAAGGATGAAGTCGTTGATGAAGGCTCAAGACGAGATGGCGGCGTTGCAGCTCGAGGCACGTATTAGGAACGATACTAATAATGCTATCCTCGATTTATGGGATGAACCAAAGCGAAGATATTATTGGTGATTGAATTTGATGCAACGACGAAGCTTGTGGTTGTTTTTTCTTTCTGTTTATCGTGCGAGTCATATTGCAAGTTTTTTTTAATGTAATTTTATCTTTAACTGATATGTAAAAATAAAAGAGTAATAAGCTGATTGACCATATGTTGGCATATATGAATAAGGCTAGTTTGAAAATTATTGAGAGGTAAGTGTGTGTGGATGGCTAAAAGATTTTGTTTTGTGCAAATTCAAATTTCTAATGTGAGATGTCGATATCACATTCTCCAGTCGACAAATTTTTTATCGAAAAGTCAACGATAATATTGTTATGATCAAACTCTGATCCACATTGACCCAAAAAAAAAAAAAGATCAAACTCTGATCCACTTAATTGGATTATATTGAGGTTCATTATATGTTGACCTATTATTCTGCTGGAAATTGGAGAATTTAACATTTTTTTAAAGAAAAATCTAAATTTGCCGTCTAAACATCATCAGTTTTAATTTTAGATAACATGTATCTCTTTCAAACATGCATATACTACAAAGGTTCTGTGAGAAATGACAATTGGATAAATAATTAATCTTAATAAAAAATTACTTAATTTACAGTATGTAATTAAACATGTATGAAAACAAAGAAATGACTTAAATTGTGAAATACTTTGTTTTGTGGTAGTCATTAGTTAGCGTGTGATGTGGATCCTACACTTTCAGTCGACGACTTCAAAAGTCAACGGTACACTATTTCATCAAGTCTTTATACACTTGGATTGTATGGGAAACTCAATTATTCCATGAAGACTAGTATTTTGTCACTACTCAAAGTTTCGTGTCCTAATTTTCCAGCTCTAATGTCAATCGTCTTCTCTATATTAGGCTACAACTTGGTGAATCGGAATTATCGTAGCCGAAAATAGAAACCACAAGTCTTCTACATATAAAATTTATTATTTATAGTTCTTAAAACTTTGAAGAAACTCATCTTCCACTTAAACAGCCAAATCTAGGCAGTACTGAGACACAATGGCTTCAGTAAAACCAGTCAATCTCCCATCGGTGAGGCACCCGAGTCACAACCATCCTCTGCGCATCTTTAAAGCACAAAAAGAAGATGAGATCGTATGCTCTGGATGCGAGCTCGATCTAACCGGTCAAGCTTTCAAATGTACCAAGTCAGACTGCGATTACTTCTTGCACAAGTCATGCTTCGACCTACCCCGTGAAATCAATCACAAGTCTCACCCTGACCACCCTTTAACCTTGTTTCATTCCCCACCATATGGTCAGGCTTACGGGTGTGATGGGTGCGGTCAGTATGGATCTGGTTTCACTTACCATTGCTCTGAGTGTCAGTACGATGTTCATGTGGGATGTGCGTTTATCCCTGAGACCGTGGTGCGTGAAGATCACCAGCACCCACTCACTCTACTTTACAATACACCGTGCAAGGGTCGTGAGGATGTGGTGTTCATATGTGATGTTTGTGAAGAAACTGTGTCAGAGAATCTTTGGGTTTACTATTGCAAAGACAAAGAGTGCGATTATGGAACGCATGTGCATTCTTGTGCGGTGCCAAAGAAAGAAGGAGGAGGAGAAGAAGAAGCGATCTTGGAAGCTTTAAGGATGGAGTCGTTGAGGAATGCTCGACAAGAGTTGGAGGCGATGCGTATTACAAATAAAATCAAGAATTCTGTAATCCATTTTGGGGATGAACCTGAGCGGAGATATTATTGGGTGAGAAAATGAATGATCAATTTGATACAATGATGAAGCTTGTGATTGTTCTTTCTTTTGGCGATTACGTGTTTTTGTTTTCGTGCGAGATATTGTAAGTTTTTAATTAATGTAATATTGTATATTTAATTGTTAAACAAAATAGTAGAATTACATGCTGAATTTATTATGAATATAAAAGAAACCCGATTTAAACATATTATTTTTTTTCATATTGCGACTTAAAAACATACACAGAAATTTACAACATATCCCACAAATAAACAAGAACCAAACAAGAAAGAAAGAAACAATCACACATCTTCATAAATATACTCCTCTTCTTGATCACCAATAGTATCTTCGCTTTGGTTGATCCCAGAGATCAAGCGCAGCATTCCTCGCATCATTCATAATACGTGCCTCAAGCTTCATAGCCGCCATCTCGTCCTGAGCCTTCATCAACGACTTTATCCTAGAAGCTGGAGAACTCGCTTCTCCTTCGTCTTCTTCTTCATCTTCTTCTTCTTCTTCCTCCCCATTTGATTCTTGATCTTCGTATGCCGCACATGAATTTACATATGTTCCATAGTCACAATCCTTGCAGTAATACACCCATAGATCTTCTGGAATAGTATCTTCACAAGTGCTACAAGTGAAGATCGTGTCTTCACGGCCTTTAGACGGTGTGCTATAGAGAAGAATAAGTGGATGTTCATGATCTTCACGCTCTATGGCTTCAGGGAGAGACGCACATCCCACATGAAGATTGTACTTGCAGTTAGAGCAATGGTAAACGAATCCAGATCCGTATTGGTCACACGCGTTGCACGTGTAGACGGATTCATCATTTGGTGGGGAAAGAAGCAAGGTCAAAGGGTGGTCCTGGTGTGACTTGTGATGGGTCTCGCCAGGAAGGTCGAAACATGACTTGTGCAATAAGTAATCGCATTCGGACTTTGTACACTTGAAAGCTTGCCCGATAAGCTCGAGCTCGCATCCAGAGCATACATTCTCATCATCTTCTTTAGCTTTAAAGACACGCAATGGATGGCTGTGACTCGGATGCCTCACTGATTGACGATTAATTGATTTGACCTTTGGTTTTCTTGAAGCCATATGGACTATTGTTCTTGATTTGTGTTTGGTTTTGGTTGTTTTGTGGGAGAATGGGTTAGAGCTATATATATACCAAAACTGCAGAGTACTTGTGATTTTTATTTTAGGTTTAATAACTATGCTTTTGGTTTCAGTGATTATTTATTAATTAATCAAGTTGTTGTATATATCATGCGGTTTCACTAATTAATAATGTTTTATGTATGACACTTTATATAGGAGACCTTTGACATTAATTTGGAATGTAAAGTCAAGACTCAAGAGACAAAAGTAAGTGTTCTTAGACGCGTTTTGGTTTTTATTATTCTAAGACAAGTATATATAACTTGTAGAAATGGAGATTCTATTATTCTAGACTCTAGCATTAATGGTTTTAATGAAAAAATAAGTTTCATGACCATCATTCTGTTTATAACTAACAGAATGGCCATCTTCTCTTTTTTTTTTTTTTTTGAACAAGTACAGAATGACCATCTTATTAGAATAAATAAATTTAATAACTAATAAGTAGTTGATGAACAATATAGACGAATAATATAGTTGACCTTCACATCATTCACTATGTCAACGTTATTGAATTTTTTGCCCAACTCGGTAATGACAATTCGTCACTACTATCGTTATTTGCTATTATCCACATCTTGAGTTGAAATTCAGAATGTTAACCATATCCATACATATATATATATATGTATTATTTGGTAAAAACCATATCCATATATTATTCATATATAGAGCGTAGCATTATTGTTCCGGAATACTCAATGCATGCTACGACTTGGTTGATAGTCAAAGCAAAACACATAACTATTCCACATACAAAGTCGACTTAAAATCACAACTCACAAGTTTTCTTGACGTTAAAAATAAAATAAAATATAACTTATAATCACAAGTTTTCTACTATAAATACTATGAGACTCATTTCTTATACAATTACAAAAACCTCAAACACAAATCGAAAAATGGCTTCGAGAAAACCATCTACCCGCCCTTCAGTGAGACACCCGAGCCACAACCATCCATTACGTGGTTACAAATCCCAAGCTGAAGACGAGATCATATGCTCTGGTTGCGACCTAGACCTAATCGGTGCAGCTTTCAAGTGCACAAAGTCAGAGTGCGATTACTTCTTGCACAAGTCATGTCTCGAGCTTCCGCGTGAGCTCCGTCACAAGTCTCACCCGAATCACCCTTTGACTCTTCTCTATTCCCCACCGTATGTTCAGTCTTCATACACGTGTGACGCGTGCGGTGAGTACGGATCCGGGTTCACTTACAACTGTTCTATCTGCCAGTACGATGTTCATGTCGGATGCGTGTCTATGCCTGAGACCATGAAGCATGACGAGCATGCGCACCCGCTCACTTTGATCTACAGTTCTCCTTTACAAAAAGGTCGAATCTTTGAATGCGATGTTTGTAAGGAAACGATACCGGATCATCTGTGGTTGTACTATTGCCAGAAATGTGACTACGGTACACATTTACATTCATGCGTCGCGGAAGAAGAGGAAGAGCCCAAGAGAGGAGGAAAAGGTGAAGGAAGTGGTGGAAATAATGTAATGAGAGGAGGTAAGAGCTCGGAGAATTCAGAGTTAGCTGCGATGTTAAAGGCTCAAAGGGAGATGGAGAGGATGCAGATTGCTCTAGATTTGGAGATGCAAAGAGCTAAGATTGATAAAAAGTCGAGAAAGCATATGCTCAAGATGATCTAATCAGATATAAAGTCGTCCATATATAGCTCTCGGAATCTTGAAACTCAAAAACTCGTTCACCTTTCTCTTGTATTACCTGCCTTTTAGTTGAATCATATTGTTGTAAGCTTTGATGTTACATATATATCTATAAATAATCGGTAATATGGAGCCAGGTTTTCATAAAACTACTCTGTGTGCCAAAATTTTACAGTGATGTGATTTATCAATTGTTCTGTTCAAATTATTCATGCATGCCAAAGCTGCAATTAAGGAGCAATGATCCATCATCTTCTGTTCCAGCAAATACTTTCTAATTTTTTTAAAAAAATTATGAATTTACGGTGCAGTAGTGGAATCATTATATGCAGCGATTTTGTTTCATAATTAATCAGAACTTGCATCGGAATCAAGATGTCCAAATTCTTTTTTTAAAAACCAAAAAAAAACAAAAGATGATGGATTTGGCGCCAAAATTAACAAAATCACAGAACAATAATATATCAAACAAATTTAATTTTTCTTTTTGTCCAACGAAAAAACAAAGAGCTCAGGCGTACGGCGATATCATCGGGAAGTTAGATGATTGCGAAGGAACCAACCAACGCTTAACCATTTTCATCTTAGCTCAACAATAATGCACCACCAATGCTACTACCACTAGACGTCTAGACCACTGGTGCTTCTTGACTATCAAAACCTATTAAAATTACATAAATGCAAATAAAATACTAGAACACATTTTCTGTCTACATTTTGTTATTCCATTAGTGTTTACATTTTATAATAGTCATTTATTATTTGTTATCTATTGCTAAATCAGGAATTAGGCATCTTTCAGTCATTTCCATGGTTTAAGCATCGTGGATTTTGCTCACCAAATCGAAGGCTAAACGTAACACATTAAGGAATCCATCACATCTAATTCACTCAAATCGAAGGCTTTCCACGTAAAATCGTACTTCCTTGTTTCTTTTCCCAAAGTCTCTTAATTTTACTCAGAAGACTTGACCCAGCGTAGTTATTTGACCTCACATCCTTCACTACTATATATGTCAACAATGATAGTGATACAATATAGAAAAATACTAAATCAAATATCTTTATTATGTGGATTTATTATAAGAATCTAGCATTCATCATTTCACAAAATTAGAAGATTCTCATTTAAATCTAAAGAGAAATTGGTGCCAAGAAAACTTTTATTTGATTTAGTTTATTTATCTCCTTTTGTTTAAATGTAAATAATTTAAATTAAATGTAATTTATTGTAAAAATTCTTTGTAAAAGCTATAAAAGCTTATTGTTCTCATTGTAAAAAGATATATAAATTTTTAGAAATTAAAAGAGATTTTTCTCTAAAACTTTGGCTTTGTTTTGTTTATCTAAGCAAGATGGAATTCTTCACTTAGTAAACATTTGAATCTATGTCTCTTGTGTGCGATGCCTTGAGACTAGGTTTGTGAATTCATCACAGAGACTTTCACACCCTTGAGTGGCATTCTTCGATCCACCCTTCTATTCCATTTCATCCACCGATCAAGTCTGAAAGAGACTTCAGTCCAACATGATTGATCCCGCAACCATCCACTTCGATCATCTTTTAAGCAAGTAGAAAGAGACTTCAGTCCAGCTGCTTGCTTCTACCCATTCACCCAACCATTTATAAAATCACCTCATTGATCTTATATCAGATAGATGTATACATTTTCGGCAATAACAATACTGGTCAGCGTGATGAATATGGGATGAAAAAGAAGTTCCACCTCTTGACTTTGAATCCTAAATGAGAATCAATCTTATATGGATGGTATATAATCATATTAGCGCGTCCTGACATTTTTGTATCAATAAAGTTAATATATAAACTACAACTTGGTTTATACACAAATCCCAAAACACATTCTACTCACCACCCTAAAGAAGACTCATAATTACAAGTCTTCTTACTCTATAAACCTCAAATAAAGAAAGATTTTAGCTATAATGGCTTCAAGAAAACCATCAGTGAGGCACCCGAGCCACAGCCACTCGTTGCGCAGTCACAAAGCCCAAGTTGAAGAAGGGATCGTCTGCTCTGGCTGCGACCTAGATCTGATAGGTGCAGCTTTCAAATGCACAGAGTCGGAATGCGATTACTTCTTGCACAAGTCATGTTTCGAGCTTCCGCGTGAGATTCACCGCAAGGCTCACTCGGATCATCCTTTGACCCTGCTGAATTGGACTCTTGAAGCTCTGAATCTCGTTGATTGTTTATTCTTTTTGACTGATTTGTTGCAAGCTTTAATGTAATTTCCCGTTGAATAATTTCTTGATTATCTGAAATTAAACAATGATAAAAGCTTTCTCACTTTATATGTTCCAAAAAAGAAGGTGAAGGAGGTGGTGGGAATCATGGGATGAAAGGAGGAAGGAGATGGACTAGATGCAGATTGCACTAGATTTATAAATGCAAGGAGCTAAGATTGAAAAAAAAGTCGAGAGATCATATGCCCAAGATGATCAAAAATATGAAGAACTCGTTCACCTTTTTTCCTGATAAATCGTTCACGTTTCACTCGATTTTGCTCACCAAATCGAAGGCTAAACGTAACACATTAAATAAACCATCATATATGCATATCAATTCTGAGATAAAATATTAGGGTTTTTAAGCTTTGATTTCATTATACATTCACTGACATCAATGGTTTCCACGTAAAATCATATTTCTAGTTTCTTTTCCCAAAGCCATAGTCTCTTATATTCAGAAGACTTGAAGACAATATATGTTTTAGAGATCCAGCGTAGTTAATTGACCTCACATCTTTCACTATGTATGTCAACGATAGATACATTTTCGGCTATAACTAGATACTTTATAATCTTTAATTACAATTGGCTATTTATTAATTTAATCAATTGTAATTGATGAAGTACAACGATACTATTCAGCGTGATGAATGGGATGTAGAAGAATAGTTCCACCTCTTGACTTTGAATCCTAAATGAAAATCACTCTCATAGAGATGTAGATAATCATATTAGCGCGTCTTGACATTTTCGTATCAATATAGTTAATATATAAACTACAACTTGGTTAATAGTCAAACCAAACCACATTCTCTCCACCCTAAAGAAGACGCATATATAATTACAAATCGTCTTACTATTTTCACTATAAATACTTTCAAACCCCTTAGCTTAATATGAATCACAAAACCAATCAAAAACCTCAAACACAAATTTAAGAAAAAAATATTTAAGCTATAATGGCTTCAAGAAAACCATCAGTGAGGCACCCGAGCCACAGCCATCCGTTGCGCAGTCACAAAGCCCAAGCTGAGGAAGAGATCATCTGCTCTGGCTGCGACCTAGACCTGATAGGTGCAGCTTTCAAATGCACAAAGTCGGAATGCGATTACTTCTTGCACAAGTCATGTTTCGATCTTCACCGTGAGACTCGTCACAAGGCTCACCCGGATCACTCTTTGACCCTGCTGTATTCCCCACCGTACGAGTCGTCAACTTACGAGTGTAGCGCTTGCGGTGAGTATGGATCCGGGTTTGTTTACAACTGCTCTATCTGCCAATATGATCTACATGTCGGATGTATATCTATGCCTGAGTCCGAGGAGCGCCAAGGACATGCCCATCCGCTCACATTGCTCTACTGTTCTCCTTACCCGAACGGTTTGATCTTTCACTGCGATGTTTGCCACGACACTGTTCCGGATCATCACTGGTCTTATTATTGCAAGGAATGTGATTATGGCACGCATCTACATTCTTGCGCCGTGGAGGAAGAGGAAGAGGAAGCGCCAAAGAGAGGAGGAGGAGGAGGAAGCGGAAGGGGAAGTGCAAGTAATGGTGGGAATAAAGGAGGAAGGGGATCGGCGAATTCAGAGTTAGCAGCAATGTTGGAAGCTCAAAGGGAGATGGAGAAAATGCAGATTGAGTTACATATGGAGATGCAGAGAGCTAAGATTGCGAAGAAAGCGAGAAAGGCTTGTCTCAAGTTGATCTAAAAATATCAAAACATGTTGATCATGAGACCTCATCTGTTCCATATTTGCTATGTTTCTCTCGAGCGCTCTTGGATTCTTGAAGCTCTTAAACTCGTTGTTGTTTCTTGTTTGTCGTTAATTTGTTGCAAGCTTTCATGTTATTTCCCATTGAATAATTTGTAAAATTAAATTATTGCAAGCTTTAACTAGTTTTATGTTAATTCTATTTATAATAATTTAGTGTGGGTCCGACTCCGAGTATATATTGTTCCTTAAAACCCCAGAGCATGGAGATCACGACACTCTTTTACTCTTTTTTTATTTATCTGAAATAAAACAACTTTATACATAATAATAAAGTTAAATACTAAGTTTTAGATAATAGCTACTATTGTACTTGGCAACTTGCTAGTCCATCAAATAAGAGGACGAGTTGGATAGAAAATCATGGTACTCAAGAGCAGAACCCTTGTGAAATCGTTTAAGCTTCTTAAAAAAATCAAAGTAGGCGCAACCGAATATATCTTTGTTAACAAAAAGATTCCACTCGATTACTCGAAATTTTACATATAGTGACCATATATGATTTTTCAAAAAAAAAAAAAAAAACATTAATCAGAACTATTAAATTTTGTTGAATTATGACAGAACTTTCGATTTTTGTTTTTTACTTATTTATCTTAACGTGACTGCTTCCAAAAAGACAGAGAGATGAAGTTGGTGAACTTTAATCCTTGCCTCGTCGGTGGTGAAATTTAATCCTCAACTAGGCATCTTTCAGTAATTTCCATGGTTCAAGCAGCACGTTAAATCGAAGGCTAAACGACACATTAAGGAAACCATCATATATACGACTAGGCATCTCAATTTTGAAATAAGATTTTAGGGTTTTTAAGCTTTGATTTCATTATACATTCACTCACATCAATGGCTTTCCACGTAAAATCGTATTTCTAGTTTATTTTCCCAAGAGTCATAGTCTCTTATATTCAGAAGATCAACTTGAAGACCATATGTTTTAGAGATCCAGCGTGGTTAATTGACCTCACATCTTTCACTATACATGTACATGCATGTCAAGTGTCAACGATAAAGGTGTACATTTCCGGCTATAACTAGATACTTTAGAATCTTTTATTACAATTGGCTATTTAATCAATTGTAATTTAATTAAAATTCGCTATTTAGCTACAACGATAGTACTCGGGATGAATGTGATCAAGAAGAATACTTTCACGGTTTCACATCTTGACTTTAAATCCTAAATAGATCGCATAATCATATTAGCGCGTCCTGAGTTAATATATAAACTACAACTTTTTGTTAGTCAAACCAAAACAAATCCCGAAAGAAGACTCATAATTACAGTACTCTTACTATTTTCACTATATATACTTTGAAAACCCTTAGCTTAATAAGAATCACAAAAGCAATCAAAAACCTCAAACACAAATAAAAAAAAATCATTTTAGCTATAATGGCTTCAGGAAAACCATCAGTGAGGCACCCGAGCCACAGCCACCCGTTGCGCAGTCACAAAGCCCAAGCTGAGGAAGAGATCATCTGCTCTGGCTGCGACCTAGACCTGATAGGTGCAGCTTTCAAATGCACAAAGTCGGAATGCGATTACTTCTTGCACAAGTCATGTTTCGATCTGCCGCGTGAAACTCGTCACAGGGCTCACCCGGATCACCCTTTGACCCTGCTGTATTCCCCACCGTATAAGTCGTCAGTTTTCGAGTGTAGCGCGTGCGGTGAGGATGGATCCGGGTTTGTTTACAACTGCTCTATCTGCGAGTATGATCTACATGTCGGATGTATATCTATGCCTGAGTCCGTGGAGCGTGAAGGACATGCGCATCCGCTCACGTTGCTCTACTGTTCTCCTTACCAGAACGGTTCGATCATTCGCTGCGATGTTTGTCAAGAGACTGTTCCGGATCATCACTGGTCTTATTACTGCAAGGAATGTGATTATGGCACGCATCTACATTCTTGCGCCGTGGAGGAAGAGCCCACAAGAGGAGGAGGTGCAAGTAATGGTGGGAATAAAGGAGGAAAGGGCTCGGCGAATCCGGAGTTAGCAGCAATGTTGGAAGCTCAAAGGGAGATGGAGAAAATGCAGATTGAGATGCAGGGAGCTATGATTGCGACGAGAGCAAGAGAGGCTTGTCTCGATTTGATCTAAAAAGTATCAGAACCTGTTGATCATGATGAGACCTCGTCTGTTCCAGTATTAATTTGCAATGTTTCTCGCGAGCGCTCTTGGATTCTTGAAGCTCTGAAACACGTTTGATTGTTTCTTGTTTTTCTTTTGATTTGTTGCAAAGCTTTCATGTTATTTCCCTTTAAAATTAAGTGTTGATTATCTTGAATAAAATAATTATAAAAAGCTTTCTTACTATATTTTTTCTAATCCTTATTCTAATTAAATTTAAGAGTCAAACCAACTAAATTTAATATGTAAGTAAGCATGGATATTACAAGGGGGTTTTGAGTAGGGTGTGGACAGGATTATCATCCTCATCGATGATAAGCATTGACCTAAACAAACTAACTAGTGTATATTCTCTTTGTATATAATCTAAAAAGAATTTTAAAAGAAAGTAAATCCATTTTTATTTAATGTTGGTCCGCGTAAATACGAAAATATCAAAAGTCAAAAGGGACCCCCACGTCAGAGATCTAGAAATGTAACGACTATTGTCACGTGGGTGTCACGTGCGTGTCACGTGCGTCCCTTCCGTGACCCGCCGTCTGTTTTATATGTTTTGTGTAAAGTTACAGAATTAGTCAGAGTAAAACCCACGATTATACGATCATAAACAGAAGCAGATACTTTGATTATTTTGATTAAAAAAGGGTAGAGAGAGAGAAAGAAGAGAGAGAGAAAGAAGAGAGAGCGTCAATGGCGGAGGGGAAACCGGACGAGCAGCTCTTCCAGCTTCTTTCTGGTCTTCTACAACAGGTTTTCGATTTGTTTCAAATTCGATCCCAATTCGTTCTCACTGGGAAAATTCATTGAGTTATTCATCTTGATTTTGGTTTCTCCCTGAAATTTCGAGTTTATGCTCGTCGAATTTCACTCGCTCCCAATTTCTGGCTAGTTTCTAGGTTTTCTCTCCATGATCAGATTATATAATCGGAGTCATAAAACCTTTTTTTAACAAAGGAAGAACATTTGATCTTATAGAACAACCCGTTTGATTCTGAAAGGAATAGATTTGTTACTGCATTGGCTTTGGTGCTCTTCGTCCTGATCCATATTAATAAACAAATTTTTTATCAATCAGGTGGAATCATTGACGAATACAGAAGAAGTAGAGCTACGTTCTAAGATCGAAGCTCTCGGTTTAGAACTCACCAAAGTGCCATCAAAGTCTTCTCAACACCTCAATGAAGTGTGTCCCGTCATTATCGTGTTCTTGAACTCCATTTTTCTCCTTTTAGATAAAAAATCTGAGTTTGTGTGTGCTTGTGTGTGTGTTGTGTGATTAGGTGGAGATAGCTAAGGAACTGGATAAGTTATCAGCCAAGTTAGACGATGTGGATGAGATGATATCATCAGCTATAGCTTCTGATCCCCAAGTTAAGTCGCTTCTCAGCGGCACGGCCGATGTTTGGATGCCGGTTATCACTGCCGGCGCCGAGGAGAGGCTTAACTTCACTGCCCCTCTCGGTGATGATGATGATGATGAGCTTCATAACAAGGATGCTACTACCAACAAGAACAACAACAGCTCGTAATCCTCCTTGCAAAAACCCGTTTCCTATTTGACAATCCTTTACTTCTGCAGTCTTGTTGTTACTTTCTCAATCTTATATATGTACATCACTTTTAAAAAAACAAAGTCTTATAGTTTATGATTGATGTTTGATGATAAGAGGTTTATGCGAATTGAACAGAACTGTTTATTTATTATCAAGAGTTATCCGGAATGCAAATTTGCACACTGCAAGTGTTGTTTCTCAGGGCAGACAATAAAATCTCGAAAGAAACAAATTTTCTACATAAACAACGTTTCTTCTGTCAATAGAAATGTGAAAAGGACTATTCAGTGTGGAAGAGAATGGCTTTGCTTGAACACGAGAGAGTGGGAATTGACTCTCGGGGAGGCGTTGGTGGCTCAAGCAGATGAAGCTTTCTTACAGTAGGCATCAAGCCAGTCCATTGTAACACTCTTTGGCCTCTCGAGTGCAAGTCCAAGAGCTCGGTCCCATATTAGCTGCAACCAAAACACGAATGAGACAAAGCTCAGCATTTGATTTCTATAATATATGGTGTGATAGCAACAAAAGAGAGTATTATGTGTATACCTGAGAGCAAATGCCAAGACTCCTTGACACACCAAAGAGAACGGTGTAGTACCTATAAAACAGCGCAACGTTATACAATATGAGTAGCAGCTTAAAAGTCACAACGCGTATTAAATGACAAGTCTGATTCATACCTTGCTTCGGTTAGACCATAGTGGTTGAGCAATACTCCACTGTGAGCATCAACATTTGGCCACGGGTTCTTCACCTGTAACAAGGAAACCGTATAAATCATACGTCCATAACATGAAAATGATCACCCTGGTAAACGAGAGAAGATTAGAAATAGTTACCTTGCCGAGTTCGGTGAGAACAGGAGGTACAACTTCATAAAGCTTTGATACCTATAGAGATGAAGTTTTTGTTAGCCACTGCACAACGCTAGAGGTTTATAAGAGCGCAAAAGAAAACATAACCAAACAAAAAAAGCAAAGTACCAGCTGGAAAAGAGGGTCATCAGGTAAATGCTTCAAGGCAAACTCTCTTTGGCATACATATCTTGGATCAGTTTTGCGAAGAACACCATGTCCATATCCGGGAACAACCTGTAAGACAAATCAAGTATTGACAATTAGTTAATGTTCCATAAGTAATTCAGTATTATTTTGGCTGGCAGTGACAAAGCAGAAGAATGTTGTGTGTACCTTGCCACTGTTAAGTGTTTTCCACACATATTCTTTCAACTGGTCTTTCGATATGTTTTCTCCACATTCCTCGACAACTGATTTGATCCAAAGCAAAACTTCCTGTTGCAACAAGACAAAAAGAAAAGAAAAGAAGACTAAGATTCTGTTCCTCTAGCTTATGGTTGTGCCATAAAACCATCACAAGCTTCCTATTTAATAAACAACAGAGCCAACTCAAGAAGCTCTGCCATAGGTTGAACAGTAAAAGATTTATAGAGGATATATAGACAGGAGAAAATACCTGATTAGCCAAACCATGGAGTGGCCCAGCTAAACCGTTCAATGCAGCGGCAAACGACAGATATGGGTCGGAAAGTGCACTACCGACCTAAATAGACAAGTATAATATTAGCCAAAGATGAACCATCAAAAACGTCCAGAAGATCGATCCTAAGCAAATGTATATGAATTGTAGAAATGCGTGTGGAACGGTTGCATCAGGAAACAATAAAATTCACAGTTGACATGGAGAGATTATGAGCATACATACCAAGTGACCAGTGTGAGCACTAACGTTTCCACCTTCGTGATCACTGAAACCAAAAACCAGTAGAAAATTAAATTATCATGCTAATATATGTAACTCTTGAAAACGCAACAAATATGACAAGAAAAATAAATTAGTACAGACCTGTGGATAGTGATGTAAAGTCTCATGAGCTCTTTCATCTTATCATCATCAAATCCCAACATGTGGGAAAAATTGGCACCATAATCCAAAGATTTATCTGAGGGAATGGAATCGCCATTCTTATACATCCTGCAATGATTTAGTGGAAAGGTAAATACCAATTTTCCTGAAGAGGGTACACAATCAATGCCAAAATCCAGAAGCTGCAAGAAACATGAAAAAAGAGTACAAAAGTGTCTAGTCTTCACTAACCTCCGATACACATATGCAGCTACAACAGGAACACGAGCAATCAGGTTCAGGCAATCCTCGTATGTTGGCTCCCAGAACCTGGACGGAAAAATCTTTGTTATGATGCATGCTAATATGAAACGCTATCAAAAACTAAACCAGAAATTCTGAAACCATACTTTGTCTTGTGAATTCCATTCTCATACGCCTTTTGGAACTCACTTTGCACCTGCATATCAAGTAAAGAAAATTATCACTCCGCTGAAAAGTAATCACTTATAGCAAAAAATTTTAAGTTTTGACAGATATCACAACAAGAACAAGCAAACAACAATGGGAGTTTAGAGATACAAACCTGGAGTGCCATAACACCGCTTGCAAATTGAGTCATTGGATGAGCTGTGGAAGGCAGAGCATCGATGGCATTGTACACATAATCTGCATAAAATGGAATAGAAGTCAAGAATAAGTAAAGTATAACACGAAAACCACTTCTGTTAAACATTTTGTTTGAAACAGTAATGTTTAACAAGTTTGGATGAACAATAAACAGACTATTTATGTTTCAAACAGCCAGAGCCAGAAGGTGAACAGCCAAACCTGGCACAGCAGCACGGCTCGCCAAGTCTTTTGACAGTGCCTCAACTTGTTCTTTGCTAGGTACCTATACGAAAAGGGGTGAAAAAGGATATCACATTGAAGGAAATTAATCGTCTGCACATGCCAGTGACCAGCTTATACAAAAAATGTAGAGAAAAGGCATACCTTTCCAGTTAAAAGAAGCCACAAAAGCCCCTCTGGCAATGGTTCTCCTCCAGACTGGGCAGCAGGTAAAACTTTCTGGCACTCAGGAATCGACAAGCCCCTAAAGCGTATTCCCTGAAATAATAATAACATAATTACAAAAAGAGACTTTTGATAGGAAAGAAGAGCCTTTGATATTTCTATATCTAGCATATTACCAACCAATTGTAACTATATACAACGATTATCAATACCTCTTCTGGGTCAAGCAATGAGGTTTCCCAGAGCAATCCAGTCATCCCTCTCATCCCACCAATTACCTTTAATCAAAAGGGGATTAAAATGAGTCATTCAAGGGAAGGCTTATATAAACAAACCAAACAAGTGAAATCATCATCATGTTTCTACCATATCAACAGTGATGTTTCCCAGTTGGACCTTCCCATGCTCTGACTTCAGTTTCTTCAGACGGTCCTGAAAGAGGAAAGAGTGAACTAGAAAATCAGGGTTTACTGCAAATAGCCTGGCTTAACTTAGAAACAAGTCAGTGGAGAAGATTTCATCACACCAAAAATTTTCAATTCATGCAAACGGAGTCATATCTTACCTGCTGTTCCGGAATCAACTCTTGCAGCTGCGACTTCAGGTCCTGCGTTGACACCATTTAAACAACATGAACAAAGACGGCACAACCAAAAGCAATCTCAGGACAGAAAACAAAAACACAGTCATCTTTCCCAAGCAGACTTCCGCTATGAATAAACCAAATCTCCATTTTCAAGTTACAAAGAATCTAAAAACTACAAGATCACATGCATCGACACGCAATCATGAAACAAAAGAGATAATTACCAACTCGGTAGAGCTCTGCATCTGAATCCATCTGACCGAATTGCTGAGCGAGGATTGTTGCCCCTGTTCATTATATAGATCCGATTAGCATCAGAAGGAGCGACCAAACGAAAATCAAACAGAAAATCGCAACCGAAATTTTAATTCCATATAAGGAAAAATACTCACGACGCGAGACCTCAGCCTACTTAAGGCCGATACGCTGCGGAAGAACACCATTCTGCAATACTCAAAACCTGTGACAGTATCCACCAAACAAATAATGTTTTTCAAAACAAAGTCGATCCGTGTAAACTCAAGCAATCAACACTCACCGAATCATAAACAAATATATAAAAAGGAACAAGCTACATACGAACAAAGGTTTATCGCCGAATCAATGATCTCAACGAATCTTAAGATTCGATCAACGAAGCCAATTCTATGGCGGGTTTGATTTCAGAAACCGTGAATAGTTCTCCGGAAATTATGGAAGACGAAAAAAAGGAATGAGACTCGCTAAGAAGAAGCGAAGAACATACCAGAGATTCGGGAGCTTGACGGCGATCGAGAAGAGCAAAAAGCGTTTGTTGAAAAATTATTGCTGCGTGTGATGTACAAATTGATCTATTTAAACGGCGAAATGCGAGCAAATGACACTTACCCCCAAAAAAAGGACTTCTGCTTTTGCAATTGCAGTAGCTGGATTATATGGAAATTTCCTATTTTGACCTTCGAGAACTTTGAGAAGGTAGACCAAACTAAACCGGGACACGTAGACAGTTTTGGCCTTTTTGGGACCTTTTGACCTTTCGGTGTACCGGTGCGGTTGTACTCGGTTTATATCAGATTTCTTTGCATTACATTGGTTAAAAAATTATCATATGTGAGGATTGAAGCAGCCCGAACGTTTCCGGACCTACAAAAGTCAGGTTTGAAATTGTCTTTTGTACGTCCAATCTTAAATTTCTCAAATTTTTAAGCTTCTTTTTACAATTTAATTATGGGGTACATTTTTCTCGTCTAACATTAGTAAAAAAAAAAATGTAGATGAATGTCAAAAAGACAACTGAGTTGTCTCGACGTTTACAGTCTATAAAAACCCAGCTGTTAGAATTTTCATATAATATTAAAAAAAACTAACAAGATGAATATACATATATATACGTATTGTATAACTAATTACACGGTTTATGGATTTAACGGTTAAATATGTTGCCAAAAATTTGATGTACCGAAGACTGTTTGATGATCTATATGGTTTAGTTAGAAAAAAGGAGAATGAAAGCAAACCGAACAGTTGGTATTTTGAGTACGTCAGAGAAAGATTGAAAAGATCATCATTATCAATCGATTAACTATAACATTTAATTACCTATAATAATTAAATGTTCACGCTGATTGTCTTGCCAAGTATATATTTTCTCATTTACACTATGGTTTCACGGTGATTTGGCTTTCGAGCCAAGTATTTTCGGAAGATAAGTTTTAATGTATGATGTTTTTTGCTTAAATTTTTTTTATCTATAACAATACTCAATCAAAGTTAAAAAAAAACATTTGTCAATCTTTGTTCTAATTACCATACAAACTTTCCCCCAAAATACAATCAATTAAATACACACACCAAAGAATTATTACATATCCATTAATAGTAGCACATCAATGTAGTTACATATCAAAACAACTAGGGTTTCTTATTACCGACGACGTAGTATGTAGATACAGTCACTTCTCCTTGAAGGGCTGCACATAAATTAAACTCTCCACCTTGGCAAAGTCAGTGCACCAGTAGTTTCAGTTTCTCACCATGCCCATCAAGTTCAAAATTTAGATATCTATATACAAATTCTATGCCTTTGTTCCCAAAAACAAAAAAAAACACTCGTTTGCTTTCATGCCTAAAACGATTAGATCTCACCAAAACAATTCGATTGCATAATCAGAGAAACCCTAGAAATTAAACTTTGGTTAATTAGGAAGAATTGTGACCCTTTGTCGTATCGAAGTTGTTGTTGTTGTTGAAGATGAAACTTTCAACTTGAGAAGAAGAAGAAGATCTAATGGGAAACGTAGAGAAGTAATCTTCTCCAACATCTTGAATCAAACCTTCTAGATCAAAGTAAGTGTTTGTGTTCGAAGTACTCTGATCACCGGATCCCCATTCTTCTTTCACCTGATGATTTCCTCCGTTTGCTAATAAACCGGTGAAACCCGAAAGTCTGTTAACCGGCTGATGATCTCCACAAACCGGTTCTTGAGAAGGCGGAATTCTCGGTCTGGCTCTCTTTTTACCGGTTTTCGCCTCTCCCGCCGCCGGTTTTCCGGTTAGACTCTGGACGAGTGAACGGAAGTTCTTGACGTCGGTCTTGATGACCTCTGGTGCGAATATATGGATGATGCGAATCTTGGGCTTGATCTTGGATATCACTTGTGAGTTCTTGTTCATGGAAACCCTAGAAGTCGAACCTTCATTATAACTTTGATGATATTGAGTAATCTCCATTGATTCTCTTACCATTCAAAATAGAAACCCAAAAGGAAAAAAAAACTGGAAACGATTGAGGGAAGATTTGATCTCTTTTTTTTGTGAGATGTTTAGTTTGAACAAAAATAATTGCTATGTCGTGGAATAATACTGCGGCGGTTGGTTGATTATTATATATAGATAGTTATATAAACTTAAAATATAGGATTGTTGGTTAGTCAGAAACATTAAATTAACAGCAAACTTGAATATCAAAATGATAAAGAAGGTGTTGGACGAAACAGCGATGGACCTGCCCTCCATGACACATAACAACTTGATTTAAATAAAAATTAGTGTATATATCATATTGTTTACATGAGAACATTGAAGTTATTATAAAAAAAAAACATTTTAGTTTTATTTTCTATATACAATCGGAACATAAAAATTAGTTTATAAATTGTGATCACCCAAGTGACGAGAACTCTAAACTGTAGTATATTATAAATTGTCATATATATATATATATATATATATATAATTTAAGTACCTAAGCATAGATAGCGTGAGCCATATCTTTGGTCACCACTCACCAATTAGGATTTTTGTTTTTTTGGGTATCTAAAAGTGTTAATTGTCGGCATGTTTGTTATTTTCTGATTTCTGGGATTTGGGTTCGATCCTATAGTTCTATAGAAGAAAAAAATTTAATTATTATGATGTTTATATTTTAATAGACAGGTATATTTTATAGTTTATTCTTGTCTAACATTGGGCGTCTCTACATGAGTTCAAATGATTATAGTCTGGTTGTATTCTTTTAGTTAATGACATCGTACGTAGAATTTAACTTTGGCATAACTTTTAACAATATTAGTAGATGGAAATTCAAATCATATGCAACTTTTATATCGATTTCTTTAGTTTGTGGGGTCAAAATCTGACTCAGGAAACTGTCACTTGAAAACCGACCTAATTCCAATCCTACTTTGTAGTTAATTTGCTTTGGTCTGATCCTTTTTTTCATCAAAGATCATTAGTTTTTATGTCCTCTTATTTAGTTTGAATTCAGATTGATAAAACCAAAACAATCACCTTATAACCAGACTGCTTCTAACCAATTAAACTAACCAACCCCACTTTACTAGTTTGTAATGTCCCATCGAATTAATTTATCATCTCTATGTATTTAGACACTTACATACACATGAGCTCATTCATCTACACATGTCTGAGGTGTCGACGCAGATATATGTCATGGTGCGCGTAAAAAAACAAAACAAATATCTCTTTTCTCGTTGGTTTATTTTTAAGTACTTAATTATTGAAAGTTTTGCACAGAGAAGCAGACGCACGAATTGTTTTTTCACACCAAAAATGACATATAAACCTACAATGAAAGAAAAATCAAAGTTGCAAGCACATAAAATAGTAGTTGACTTTTAATTTGCCAAAGAAGCAAACAAGCGCTACAGGGTGGATTTAATAACCTTCGTAGCTCTTTGATTTTATTTTTTTTTGACCAAAAAAAAAAATAACCTTCGTTGACTTTACGTAAGTTGGGATTTAGTTTTATTCCAACAAATTATGTTATCAAGAAAAATTACAGTGTATTTTGCTTACGTATATATATGCTTATCAGTTATCCAGTCACCTCTACAAAATTACATATCAATTATTTTAATAAAAAATATTTCATGAAATCTACCACACCAATGTAGGCCACCTTTGTAGCTTTGCCCCAAGTGTGAAGGTTTTGCTTTTAGTTCTACAATACCACTATGACTCTAATTGGTGGTGACACATAAAAAAAAAATAAGAATGAAAAGAAAAAGAATGAAAAGAATAAAAAAAAGAATCAATAGGAATAAAATACATATAAAGAAATAAAGAATATTTTTTATTTTTCTCCATATTTTATAAGGAATACTTTTGTTCTATAATTTCTTAAATAATAAGGAATGAGAGTGAATAACATAAAATAAATATTATTAATAAATGGTGAAAATTTTAAGGAATAAAGAAGAATTCATTATTCCTCCTCATTTCTTTAGTCACCAGTTAGAGATATCTGGTGTTTTTGACCTATTTAATTAATTATTGTAAACAATAGCCTATGATCATAGGGAGAGGTCATATTAGTTTTGAAAACATGATAGTTATTAGTTATTCTATTTACATATTAACGTCAACCGATTTAAAAGTCAAAACTTATTTAAATCCATCTATGATATTGGCGCGTTTGGTTAAATAGCTGTAGTATGTTTTTTTTTAATTAGGTGAATTACATAAATTTGGGGAAAAATAATCTTTTAGCCATTATATAATGCTCTTACGCGGACTGGGAGACTTGTTCTATGCGAACTATTGAAAACAGATCTTGCAAACTATATGTATATATATATAGCTAGGCCATATGAATTAGAATTAATGTCATCCATCTGTTTAATGAAATATTCAGAGAGAGTGGAGCTCATTAATTTAGTTTTCATTCAATATACATGTCCAACGTTGTGTATAAGCGAAATTCTGATTTTATAAAGAAGAAAAAATTATTCGTTTAAACTTTTATCTTTTTTTTTAATCATAACTAAGACTCGAACCCTAACAAAATTGTTCTTGAAGAAAAAACTATATATAAATTTGTAAATACAAAATTATTAAAATGAATTATACGTAAACTATCTAGAATGAAAATGATGATAGATAGACGTTAACGTTTTGAACTTTTTTGTTACAGTAGAAGCGAAAAGTAAAATATATATATATATATATATATAAAAAAAACTCGATGTTTCCAAAAAAAATTTGGATGATTACAAATTGATTATTATGAAATGACACCAAAAGGTTATGATAAAGACATGGAATCC